TCACCACATTTGACTACTAAAAGAATCTCATTCTCTTATGATAAAGAAAAGGGTATCTGTCAGGATAACTTAGACATCATTTTGTTTCCTGTGATTGATGATTGATTCTCTGTAAGTCTGCATCAGAGTGAGGAAATAAAATTTTTTTTAAAAAAATGCAAGATAACAGATTTTTAAGGAATTGGTATACACCTAAAGCAACTTATTTTATTCTAATTGTTTTATAAGTCAAAAGCACTTTTGAAAACAATTTTGTTGCTTTTTGTTTTGCATATATTTGTACATGAGAGAGAATGCTATACAGGTGACATACAAAAGAGGGTGTCAGATCCCCTGGATCTGGAATAGCAGAGAGTTATGAGCCTCCCAACTTGACTGCAGATATCTGAACTCAGGCCATGACCAAAAAGAATATGTGCTAAGCCACCTGCCAAGACCCGTAATACCTTTTATCCAATAAAACAAAAGACTTTCACAGATTAACAACAACAAGAACCAAACCTAAATAAAGAAGTAAAGAAATGATCCTTGGGAACATGATACATCAAAATTAAGATGTTCTGTATGGTAAATTTGTACCATAAAATGAATACCATCCAATGACAGTGCCCAACAATTTATAACAGGAAAGCTAATTACAAAGCTACATTCACAGTGGAGACATTCAGAATTCTCAATGTGAATGTAAAAAAATAGTACACAGATTGATATAATATGACTTCTATACTTACCACAAAGACACAACAATCAAGAATGTGTACAGTATTTGTGAAAGAATAAAGGAGAGAGAGAGAGAGAGAGAGAGAGAGAGAGAGAGAGAGAGAGAGAGAGAGAGAAGAATAAAGGCAGGAAAATATAGTCAACCTTTAATCAAAAGACCAAAGGAAACTTCACCAGGAAAAGTGTAATCTTGACCAATGTTACTCAGCTACCTATGATTCTATGTGTATAGGAATTAAATGAACACAGACTTCACAACTTTCACAAAATTAACTTTAAGTGACCCTTAAACTGTTGTTTCTGACCCTCCAGCTACTGCCATTTCTTTCAAAGACAGAAGCCCCATGATCTAGAGCTCTCTCTACAAATGGAGGTGATCTCTTGCTATGGTTCTGCAGCCCCTTACGTCTCCTTGTGGTTTCAGGTAAATGCAGCTCCACTGAACCCAATCCCAAAATTTCATAGAATAATTTAAAATCTGCTTTCTTGCTGCCAACCGTAGAAATATGAAGGAGTTCAGCTGATACTTACAAAGCTATTACTTAGAAAAAGTTATGGACTTTTCCAGAGGAAAACCAAGACTTAAGGAGTCTTGGTGATATTAGCTTTTGGATATATTAGCTGTATCCTGCAATGAATTTCTTGTGTTCTATTGGAGTTTCCCCATTCGACTTTTCCTTCAAGAATTTATAACGGTATGATTGATCACTAATTGGGCACAACTCTCCTTATACATTTGGGGTAATTGGATGGCTGTCCCCAGTCATGTTTACTTTTTCATTAACATAAATCTGGCCAGAGCCATTCTCCAGACAAAAGTATTTCAGCAAAGATACCTTTTTCCAAGAACAAAACTGCACATAGATAAACATTAGCTCATCTCACAGATAAGAGAAAATAACCACTAGCAATTAAATTCTCAACTCTTTACCTTCACCCCGGGTTATTTAGACAAGACCCTAACTTAAGAGATTTACTGCTCACATTCCTGGGATGATGTTTTAGCCATTTGCCAGTTACTGAGTTAAAGCAATGACTTCCCCTGACCCAAGGAGACTGCCTACAAGGCCAGGCAGGCGATAGGTGCCAAGCTTCTTTCTTGTACAAATTAAGTTTTAAATCCTCCTCAGCCAGGTGCTATTCCTAGATTTTCTCCTCCACAATTACTCTGAGCTTTTACTAACCAAATGCTACATGCTCTGACTTAGGTTGTCTAGCAACCTGGCATACTCCCCCTCCCTATCAGAAAGCAGCTGCAGCCAGGATGAGAAAGTGGGTGTGTTGAGGGGAAGTGGTACCAAAGACAGTTTACTTTCTTGTGACTTATTGACCCCTAACATTCTACCTAGCTATTTCTAGATTATAGTTTGAGTAAATAAATTCCCTAATTGATTTTAGCCTTTAGTTGACCTTACCAGAACTCCCCTTTAGTCGCTCCCCTTTTGGATTGTAATTGGAAACTGACAATTATTGCTTTATGTGTGGATCCTTATCACCTCTCTCAGTGACCCTGAAAACTTCAAATCTCACAATGCATTGTAAAAGAATGACTGTTCATGTATATATACTGGTTCCCCCCCCACACACACACACACAGCAATAGTAGAATTGACTTAGAAGAGTAAAGTGAATGGACTAACAAGCTCAGTGTGCTTAGATTCATTGAACATCCCTCAGATTAGTATCCTTCGCTGCTTGTAGCATCTGTTCTGAACCCTGATAGAAATCTCTTCAAGGCAGGCACTTGGGGGGAATTTGGTACTTTCTGCCACATGGTTTATGGCGCTAGATGTATATTCTGCCCTATCACCTGCCCAACACCATGCACACCTGAGAAATCTCTGCAGATCAGAAACTCCTTTTGTCCCCTAGAATTAAACTTGACTGAATCACACCATTGTGGCTGGTAGTAGCAGAAATTTAAAAGCCTTCTAATCATGTATTGTTGAAAAGTAAGCCACATCACATCTTTCTACCACTTTCTAAACTATTTGTAACATTTATAAGACAAACCTGAAAGTGGAATGCAATATTCAGAACTTGTAGAAACCAGACCTTCAGTTTTCCAATCTGTCTTCCCACTGCACACCAAAAGCAGTGCCCATGTATGCACACTGGACAGTGACACTACAAGCATCACATCCTCCTCTGCCAGGGCTGCTGAGTCCCCCCTTCCCCAGGATATCCATACACAGGGAGGCTCAGAGGACAAGGGCCACTACCCAGGTCACTACATGAACCAACAGAACCACAGTCTGGCTCATGGTCCATCAAATCCCAGCAGAAATGAAAGCTCAGCAGACCTGCTCTGAACACCCTACACTCACCATGGCATGGTTTGTGGTCTTCTTTACAACTCCCTACAGCAGAAGCAGAGGAGAATCCTGGAAAGAACTCACAAGTTACTTGCCACTAGTACTCCTGAATGCCAAAGACTCCCCAGAATCCCTCATTGGTTAGGGCCACCCAGCTAGACCTCAGAATATTAGCAGCTCCCCTACTGGGTGATCAGAGATCAAATGACTCAGACAGCACAGTCCTTCCAGCTCTGTCCTTCCAGCCCAACAGAAAAGGCTCTAGTCTGGAACATTTGTATTTTAGTAGACATTCTTCCACTCTCCTAGAGCACATCCTGTTCCTCATCCAAAGCACAGGGTCCTTTGTGTGCACATTCCATTATAAACTCAATGTCCAGTGCAGCCAACCCATTGCCTCATAGCTGGGAAATCATGCAGACAAACACAGGGCTTAACTGAAAGCCTTGCTTGAGCAGGCAAGTCCTTAACACAACAGTCTTTTACTTATCAAATAGTTGTCACCTGGTTTCATAATACCCATCTGACAGAATTATGTTTTTCTCAAGAAGAAAACTGGAACTTTATGGCACACCAGTCCTTAAGGTTGGTTGTGACCCTATAATGCCTCCTTTAGCAGCCTGTCCTTTGATATGGGGATAGGTCTAGTGGCTAGTTTTAAATCAGGGGTGGCTTCTTTGTATGGTTTGGAGCCAAATGTTTGGACAATCCTGGTGAACAAATGTGTATCCTAACATCCTAATCTCTAACAGGGCTGGTTAGCATACACTTATCTTTTGAATGTTTTAGAAGCAGTCCTCCCTCAGCTGAATTCTACTTTGTGAGACATTATCTCCTAAGCATTGGTAAATCCTTTATATCACCAATTCTACTCTTCTACGTCATGGCATATTGAAAGGACCAAGCAGATGCCATAACAGGCTGCTCAGTTTTCTCTCAGAGATCCGGCCTCAATTTCAGTTTCCTGAGACTTGAGCAAGCAGTTTCTGGGAGGGCCATGAACAAAAGACATAGTCCTTGCAGTAGCTCCCTTTCTGCACGTACTCTGACTGCTCAAAGTTCAGACAGATGTTTACTGTCTAGGACCCCTCACCAACTTAGAGTTATGTGCATGAGTCAAGGACAGAGCCTGGACTACTGAGCCAGGCCCCACAGTCAGTACGTGCTTGGCCAGCCAGCCCCCATGGCAGCTCAAGGACAAAGCCTGGGACTTGTGCTGGACTGCCCCCAAAGTGATAATTGTAACCACCAACCAGTAAATTCAAAGGTTACATACCCTCACCCAATTTAAAGAGAACTGAGATAAAAATAAACCAATCTGAGTTGCACCAGTGCAAGACCCCCCTGAAGGGCTTGTGGTTTTTACCTTTAAAAAGCTAGCCACACAAAGAAGAGCAACTCCTCCCTGGCTCACTCTATTGGGTGTAGGAATGAGTTCCCTGTCTAGACTTGTATCTACAGAATAAATCTTGTTGTTGCATTCTGGACATCCAAGGTCTTCGGTGGTCTCTTTGGGGTCACAATCTGGGCATAATAATATTAGTGGAGTGCTACCCAACACCTGAGATGCCCTTTACAACTTCCACAAAATTAACTATAAATGGATCTTACACATAAAGGTTAAATGCAAATTGTTTTACTCTAGAAGATACTGGAGAAACTAGGACTCTCCAAGTTTCAAAACCTGCTTTCCATGGATGCACCAAAAGCATGTTTAAGTTCACTATAAAGATGTTTCTACACACAGCTCCCTGCTTCCAATGTGCTGAGCAGATTCAGCCCACACAGCAAAGTTACTCAGAGGCCTGCCCCTGGGTTCAGGGAGTTGCAAAGACTGCATGGGATCTCACAGGACAGGGAATCTGGCTGCAAGTTCCCACCCAGATTTGGGGAGGACCCACCACACTGGCTCCTGCACCTCCCCATCTGCTCCTACCCATTTGGGGCCAGCAGCCCCTCACTTACCATGTCGTGGTTTCCCAACTTGTCCAAGCTCTGTGCTCAGCTCCTTGCAGCAGCAATGGTAGAACAGCACACAAACTCACCTGCGCCAGCTCCTCTTCAAAGCCAAGTCTGAAGCCCGGCCCCCGGAAGAGCCCTGCACCACATCTGACTGGCGGGTCACCTACAGGGCCTGATTGGCTAGTGAGGCCTGAGTGACAAGAGCACCTCCCATAGAGTTACAGTGTACTTAAAGACACAGCACAATGGTTCCTGACTCTGACTTCCACCACAAAGACCTTTTCCAGATCAACAGAGATACGCATTTCAATAGTACTTGCCCCTGGCTCCAATAGCAGCAGGCCCTGCCATCTGCCTGCACTCCATAAGCACGTCCCCTTTTTCCTCCTGGGCACAATGTAGCTAACTAGCTAGTTTGCACAGCCCACTATACTATGCTATGATTCCCTGTCCCAAAGGTGGAAGGGTGCCCAGAATATTAACAATTAAAAAGAGATTTAAGGACACAAAAGGAAATGTTTGTTCTGTGGTTTCACATTGAGATCAGATGAACTGCAGGTACTTTTTAACTGGTTGTCACAGGGTCTTCATACAACCAGGAAAGAAAAGCAGGAACCAGATCTCAAACAAGATAATAGGTCTTTCTCCAATCAGAAGGCTGGATGGATGGCTCCATTGCTTTAGGAGTTTTATTCCTGAAATTCAGAGCAAACTCTTGGCAAATGAATAATAATAAAAAGAGTAGGCTTCATAAAAGTTGAGTACTTAGAGAATAATGGAGCTAGGAAAATGTCTTTACGAGCACTACTGTTAGCCAACATGTCTTCCTCAGTGAGCAAGTTAAAAACAAAAACAAAAACAAAAACCAGCTGCATTATTTAAGGTTCTCTACATGAACAAGACTGGTAGAATGAGTCTCTCCATATATGTAGAAAGTGGATTTATTATAATGTCTCACAAGCTGTGGTACTGTTGTGCCCAGATCGTAACCCCTGGAGAGACCACCAAGGATGAGCATACCAGAATGCAAAAGCAAGGTTTATCTGTTACAAGTCATGACAGGGAACTCATCTCAAGCCATCTCAAGTGAGGCAGGGAAGAGTTACTCTTTCTTGGGGAAGTTAGTTTTTATAGGCAAAACCCTTAAAATTTCTTAGAGGGGAGGGGGTTAGTACGGGTCCATCCTTGATTGATCCAGTTTTTCCCGGGCCTGGACTTTATCTTATCCTGGCTTATCTGTTAGCCCTGTCAGGAGTTTTACAACTCATCTCCGGGGTCTGGTCATGTTATCTCTGGAGAGGGGCATCTTGTGGCTAATTGGTTACCATCTGACATCCTGACTTTGTTCTTTTGAGTTCCTGGGGCTGGCACCATCATTTCTGGGGACTTGAAACT